AACAATATTAGAACAGACATCTATTATTTATGAGTTTATAATTCACATGGTTATCTGAGTAATGTTTCTGTTTTTAGTCTCTGTTATTCAGTAAAATCTCTACTTTTAAATGGTGGATTTGGATTTTGTTTATTTTTGGCAAAGTAATGCTCATTGACTCCCTGGAAATCGTCGATATAGCGACGACGAAGCCGCGACGATTGCTTATGTTTATAGCTGTACTGTTATTACATATAAACATTTTTCTTATAATTTAATAGGTATTTTAGTATTTAGTCATTAACGTTATTGAAATATTGAATACCTATTTAATTTTCTTAATTCTTTATCTTATTTAAAAACGAAAATAATTCAAGGAATTTACATCATACCATTATTTCAGGAACAATTTCGGGCTGATTCCGAGTAACGCGCGTCAAATACTCCAAGACACTAGAGATATTTCCATCTCTAAACTTTTGATATATTTGTGATAATAATATTAATATCTGTCCAAGAAACGTGGAAACATGTCGCAGTGGCCAGTAATGTAGCTCGTCTTGATGGTCGACTAGTTTTTACAAATATTACAGTTATTGTAGACGACATATCGACGTAAACACACATTATCATACATTCATACGTGTGGTATAACAATATTATGTTTATTATCAATTATGTATTATATAGCTAGCAATATTGTGTAATAAGTAAATAAACAAAAATAAATAATCATAATATTATGTTGATACACTGGTGCAAGTCTAAAATAAAATTTAAAAAACCTGAGTGTAGTACATGAAGCGCCAACCATTACGGCAACATCCCTTGTCTGTACCTACGTATCTGAATGTTGCAAGTTTTGGTATGAAAACCTATCGTTTGAATCGAGATTCGAAAGTAATAATATTGTTTTCACTTAGAGATTAGTTAAATGGAAATGGCATTGGACATAGGTACTTACAAACTTACTCATAAATAATAGGTGCCTTACCGCGACCACTGGTAAATAACAAGTATCATCATTCATCGTGAATTATAGGTATAGATTTATGAAATCCAAGTAAAATCTTAGTCAAATAATTGCGTCAAGCGTCGTTCGACGTTTGTTAATAATTAATGTACCTATAACATAAATCATAATGCATATACATTATTGATCGTTGAAGATTATACTGCACATAATAACTAATAAGTACGTAGTACTGCAATTTATATTTATCGCATACATTGAAATTCATAGTTTAGTTATCATAGTAGGTTGTTGGCTACAATAAAGTTTATGGTTAACTTTTATCTAATGTAATTTTTATTTTATGATGCAATTTAAAGCTGGTATCTTATGTACAACTGTTACAATATAAGTCATTTTGGGTAGGTTCCTAGTTTATAGTAATACTATTACCACAATACCACAAACCCATTGCCAGTTATAATAACTTCTCTGCCCAAATAGTCATCCAAATACAGTAAAATGTATTAATTATATGTATAATAACATAGGTACATAAAAGTTAAATTATAAAAAATATTACGTCATTAAACTACCTACATAGGCAAATCAAAGATATTTTTTGTTACAAATTTTACAATAACAATAAAATGAAATCGAATGCAAACTTTAAAATAAATAAATTTATTAAAAGCGCATATATGTAAAACGTTAAATAAATATTAGTAGTTTTAAAACGACCGATTGACTGTATATAATACATTAATACTATAATGTTTAGTATCTATGTTGTAACTTGTAAGTACTATAGGTGATCGAAGACCATTATACCTATAAAGGTTGCTGTAACATGGAGATTAGGTAGATTTACATATTAATATTTTATGCTTATATCTGCACTACCACCGAAAACTCAGATATATCATATATGTTTAAGTATTATAATATTATATAGAGAGCTGAACTATATAGAAAAGTGTGTTTAATTGAATGTACCAATAAAACAGTGATACAGTATATACACTAATACTTACCTACCAGTTACCAAATATTTAACCTTACCTATAGGCGGTATGCACATATATTCAATTTTAATTCTTATCAAGATTGTATTAAGAATATTCATATCGTAGACCGTAGTATTTAAATATGTTGTGTATTCATTAGGTAATTAGGTAGGTAACGTAGAAAGTTACTCTGAACATATATTTTTATGATCCGATGATATCGATAACTGATAGGTATGAGTATATTATGTGATATATATAACATATGGTTAGTATAACATAAAAAATTAAAACCAATATTTGTTTTATATTTTTTTTTATTATTTATTTTTCAATGAACGACCAATCGGAGACTATAATAAGACACATTTTATTACCTATAAGTTATAAATTGTTTCTAATAAAATTATTTTATCTTTATTAATTCATGTAATAACTAATTGGTAATTTTATTTTATTTTAATATTGTTATTGAAATGAATTAATTAATTAAATCCATTTCAATTAAATACAAACAAAAAAAACCAGTGACCAACCGATCTCCTGTACAGTAGGTTACAAGTGGCAAACTGTAATGTATATAGTATTAAATTTAAATTCAATTGTATAAAATCATTGTATACGAAAAACGATTAGAGCGAAGACTGGAATTAGTAATTTAGCATATTTGATGATATTATTGTGATTAAAGTATAATTGATTTTACAATTAAGCATTAGTAAAACAGTAGGTTAAATTCATTTTTGCTAAAAAAATTACACTTAAAAATCCATTGTGTGTATAAAATATATAATAGGTTAGGTATTCTTTAAGAGTTTCATGTATCCAAGAAAAATACTTTTAAATTATAACAAAATAACTTAAATTATTATTCTTAGTTATTTAATATGTAGGTAATTTCGTCCAAATTTAAACATAAAATAACTATAAAAAAACTGTATTTAAATACATTTTTTAGATTTTTTGATTACAGAATTAACTTTTTATGTGCAACTTTGTTTTACATTTTAGTTCCTTAGCTATAAAAGTTGAACATTTTATAAATATTTAAATACACAATAATTTTTAAATTATAAATTTGATAAATGTTGTCAAAATTTGAAATTTAAATTTGTATAAAAGAAAATCGTGCCTATGTATTTAAGTATTTTTAATATTTCTCAACTTCTATTTTAACAATATATAGTAGTATATATAAGTAGTTTTAATAATAGTTCAAAAATAATATTGATGAAGATACTTACCTAACTACCGTTTTTTTTCATAAGCATTTAAATATTATCTTTTGTATACAAAATTTTAAACCCTGGCCTCAACAGAATAATTGATTTAACAGAAAATGCAAACTTAAAAATTTCCCACCGAATTAAATAATATTATAATATGTATATAATAGTTAATGTAGGTATAATAGTTTTAATACCTAACGTATGTATAATAACTTAAGTACCTACCTACGTAGGTATAAACAATCATACAATATGTAAAAATAATAAATACACTTTTGTCGTTTGTGGAGTCCTCAGTGTGGACGAGTGGACGGTAAGTTAAATACCCGTGACCAGAGGGCAGTAGAGCTGAAATCCTTCATAAAATATTATTTTACTTTTATACACAATAATATCGTCTTTGTTGAAGGGATTTTTATAGTATTACAAGACATGAAAGTTATTAGATTTAAAATGTTTTACTAAGTTAATGAAGTAGGTACTTACTACCTACTTACAATATACATTTTGATGAAAATCAAATTTTCAGAATTTGTCTGAATTGTGATTTAAGTTTTTACATAAGCAAATTTAGAAAGTATAGGTATACTGTTTATTTCAAATTCTTAAATAGAATACTTTCCCAAAAAATGCTGGTCTATGTAAACATTGAATAATAATTATTAAGTATATAATATTTCCAATATTTTATATAAATTGTATAGATGAACCAAGTACATCATTAATATGTCATGAATTTTGTTTCAGTAGGTAGTAGTACTTTTTAGAAGGAGGAGAGTCAATACTCCTTGAGATTTGTTTGATTACTATTTGGGATAATGGTATATAAATATTAAAAATAATAATTTATGGTTATTATTATTAACGATGAACATACAAGTTTCAAATTATAACACGAATAGGAATTAGGAGTTAAGTAGCATTATGAAGTTTACGGCAAGTGAGTGAACTTTTTTTGAAAATATTTGTTTGTATCTTACACCTTTTGAAGTCTTGTCAACACTGTTATTGCTTTTCAGGCTATGGCACTTTACTCTTCTTATTTAAACTCTATAAATGCTCTATTTTATAGATATAAGAATGTAGGTAATATATATTGCTTGACTTATTGTATCAACATTTAATATTTATATTAAAATATATTCTGCTTTAGATTATAACATCAAAAGTATAATTGAATTAATAAAAAAATCTTTGAAAATCACAATTTAAATTAAATCCGTATATATTATAATATGAAGAGTGTAGGATTGTTTTTTTTAAGTACACACAATGCGATAGATATTATGATTGTTTAGTGGCATAATAATATGATTAGTATAATAATGTTTGTTTATATTGTTATTTTGTATTCATGACTTTATTTCGGTAGTAAAAAATGCAACTTTTACATGAGTAAACATTTCAAAGACATTTGAAAAATATCGTCGTTTGAAATAGTAAATAAAAACCAATTATTTAAAAATTAAAACAAAATAAAGCAAAGGTACTTCAAGACTTTATCATACGTTCAAAAGGCTTGGACATACACACACATTACGAAGTATAACTGCTGATGTCTGTTGAATACCTATGAACTGGTAATCCCGGTATCCCTGGTAAAGTTACAACTGCTACATTCACCCTACACACCCCGTGTACATGACGCGAACCGCAAGGGTAGGTAGTGCACACAATATCGTCTCAGACACTCTCAGCTACCACCGCCGGGACTTCGTATAAACATATTATTGTTATTATAACATGACATCGCCACCTGTCGTGTTGTCGCGTCAATCGGTGGGAGGTTGAACGAATTGAAAGCCGGCGAAAAGAAACACGCGGCCCCAGCGCTTCTGTAGTGTAGACTGTAGACGGCAATTACACAGTATCGCAGTGACTATCGTGAACGACGTTTGCTCGCCGACCGCGTGTGTTGTGGTGTGTGCGCGCTCGTTATCTTGGCGAAACCGTTTTTTTTTTCTTGTCCTTTTTGATTACCGTTCGGTAATTCATTACGCCCGTTCTCGAATCATTTGAAACACACTAATTCATTTAAACGAACTCTCGAGAAACGTGCGTTTTACCGATCTCTCCGATGATGGAAGGCTGAAAAGGCTTCGTGTTTGCCTACAACATAATATACTTGCTCTATACAGCGAAATCTCCAACGACCCTTCGCCATGGCCTACAATCTGGGAAGAAACGAAATATTAACAGGTTATTGCTAAATACTATTTACATATTGATATTGTTGTGTATAAATGCATTATCTATGAGATATTTTGTCACCGAAACAATCCAAGTCTATACTCTATTGGATCAATGTAGCCTGTGGGCAAAGAGTTATAAATTATAATATTTGCAGCGGGATATAGATAAATGAAACAGAATTATTTGCTGAACTATTCATAATATCGTGCTGGAAACGAATCCTGCTTTATAATCCAGTACTAACGAAGCACTATCCTATTTGTTTTTAACAAAAAAAAGATTGTAAGTAGGTATTGAAAACGGAAATCGTAATGAAAAATAGCCATCGTTGGTTGTAATAATAATTTAGATAAGTAACTGAACCCAACGATAATTATTGAGCATTGATTAAACGTGATAACCGATGGATATTATTATTTAATAATATTTTATCGTTGAGTATTAGATAGGTATTTCAATTAATTTACTCATGATATGTGTTATTTTGATACGTGCAACAATCAATAGTCTAATGAAAACGATTATTTAATTTACAACAATTAGATATCAATTTATTTTTCTTTAATAAGCATACCCAGTGCCGCCGACAGCCTATAATCTATATGCTTAGAACGTTATGATTCCTTAATGTGTTTCAATTTATGAAATCTTGTATATTTGTATCAATTATATCTAACGTTATTATGAAGTAATGAACACGTCATACATAAATATAAGGAAATTGTTAAAATATTATAATGTTTTCGATTATTATCTAAAAAACAACTTTATACTCGTATTATAATAATTAGCAAGCAACATGTTTGATATAGATCGGAGATTTTAATAGATTATGGTACTCAAATGTTAATTTTTAATATAACTATAGGTACCTTCTATAATGATTGTTTCAAGTGTACAAGTTCTTACTTTTTCTTTATTTGGACCAAATGAATTGAGATGGAGCTTAAATTATTAAACCAGCATAATTATTATTCATTTAACTTAGAATGAATAATATTGTTTTATAATTGCTATTTAACTAGTGTAGGCACCTACTACACTTAAACGAATTAAAACCATAACTAAGTATACAATGTAATGCCAACTATCACGTGTTAAATATCTGAAAATATACTGTGGTAGTCTGTGGAAACAAAATTGTTTTATTCTGCAAACAATAATAATTATAAGTTAGACTGACAGACAGCATTCATTTCTATCGAAATACTTTCTGTTTTACTAAAACCTATTTAGGAAACGACTATTAATGTTTTCTACGTTATTATGATATTATGCCTAATAAGAAAAAAGTACTGCTAATTTTTATAATGATAGATTTTAGTTGAAAAATGACGTAGGTATTACTATATATTTTGTTTACAACATGTTTACCAATAAATAATAATACGTACTTACTGCACAACTGCTGTATTCACTATTTTTTACGAGTATTTTTTCATTGAACGGCCAGTAATATTATATTAGTTTTAACTTACCGTGAGTTGTGACTTGCAATAATTCGTCTCATTTCTGTCATTTTGTTTTTGCTATTGGCTGTTGACTGTAGTGGTAATCTTAAATGATTATATTGTGGTTCGTTTGATGACGACTGATGTTCACCATCGTGCGAGTTATTTTTATTAGTTGGTTTATAAACAATAGATATAGGTAGTAGGTACAGGTATTCGTACTGCAATATAATATGGTAAATTTGTCTTTAAACATGATCGAATTATTCTTATCACACGTTTCAAACGCGGTTTTGATTCGTATTAACTTAACGAATATTCTAGGAATAATGTAATGAGTCAAGGATGAACATATTATTTTGGGTAGTGCATATTAAATATTGTACGTAAGTTATGTAGGAAAAACAATTAAGATTCGTGGCACGTACGGCACAAAACGACCGAACGAAATGTGTCTAGAAAAACAGGCTGAACATTCTTTGGTTTGGGTCAGAAAGATGAACTAGAAATGCACTAGGTGTAGGTTCCTGCGTCTTTATTGTTAAAAGTATACACTAAAAACTTTATAAGTTCATATCTTTATTAGCCATAGAACATGCATACAAATTTGTTTTGTATAGTATTATAAATGTATGACAGCTTAATATCCTAAAATACAATGTGGTGTGTTAAAATATAGTAGACACACACTACATGGGGCATAATATAATAATTTACCTACGAATTTATGGATTAATATCGATCGAGGTGTACGGTTGTTTAAATTGTTTTCGTAACGACAAGAATCCGTATACGAAGATTGAATTCCTCTTTATATTTAAATTTAGCAATAGCGCTACGTACCTATAGTTATGTCACTGTCGAACATAATTGGTTATAGGTAGTATTATGCCAAAACACCTAATACGCGCATCTGACAATAATCTGCATTGAAGACTTCAACGGAAACACGTGTTTCTATAACCGATGTTAAATCATTTAAAACACGATCGTGATGCGATTTCACGAATTATCATAAAATAGTGTGAGACTTAACCGCGCGCGGTAGGCTGCTGCAGTTTGTCGGAAAGTTATAGTAGTTGACTACTTTCACTGTGCAGTTTAAAGCCGCGCCATCGAATGAAGACGTTTGCTGGAGATTGTTCAAGTTTAAAATACGATAATAATATTATATAGCATTATATTATGTACAACTACTTTTGCCAACAATAAAATAATATATTAACAGCGTAGAAATTACGCTTCTTTTATTTATGTATAGACGCAGGACGTTTATAGCATTAGAAAACTTAATTGGGTGTATCATAATATAATGTCAATTCAACTTATATATTAGTGGCGCAGAAATACGTTTTCGATGATAGATGGTGAACAGGGTAAAAATGAATGAACATTTAACAGCGGCAGAGGCATAAGAGTGTCTTTTAGTTAATCTACAGAGCTACTAGCTGTCTAGTATAAATATAATATTATAAATCTTAAACGAGCATTATGAAATTATACCTATTCGTGTAACTAAACGACCGTGAGGATAACAATATATTAACGCGGTATATGCGGACCTTGGCCGTCGGTAATGTATATATTTTTTATGACCTAAAGATTGGTACATCTTATATGGGTATATGTTGATGAGTTCTGTGCGTCGCATATTATATACCTTCGTATTACAGACGGTCAATATTATGGTCCGTTCAAATCTCGGCCGTTTTAAGCAGGGATCCCCTAGGGGCAAAACAGGTGCAAGACGAATAATATTTAAAGTACGAGTACCTAACACGTGCTCATTCATATATAAGTAGGTACAATACTAGTACAACATTATATTACGTTGTCGTGTAATCGTGATCTGCTGTGTGTGCGTAAAATGAGCGTAAAAATTACAAATGGTTAAATCGCAAAACCGGAATCGCTAATTGTCACTTACGGTAAGCCGCGACATATTCGCTGGCTACCTACATTCGTATGTAAAAAGCAGATACCGCAGATGCGCGGCTCGTAGGCCGTCCAATAAAACCGTCACGCGAAAAGAGGTTACTGGAATACTAGTCCGGCTATACGAGTCAAACTTAAATGGTTTTTTTCTCTCAATTAAACGTTTGTGTTTTACCCTATTGATATTGTGGTTGCGAGTTTCGACGACTTCTGAACGTGAATCGAAGCGACAAAACGTAAATAAAATACGATACAGCTGGTTAGGACACTTAATACGTGTCGTCGTCGATCTACCACGGAGAAACCTATATATCGTCTACTTTACGGAAATCGAATACTTCCACGTGTTACCATATAATATCGCTATACTGTAAAAATATATTATACCGTTGAGGGTGCTGGTCGTATTAAAATGCAAAATAGTATCTATGTATGTGTAATTATAATATGTTTAAGAAAAAAACACCATTTGCGCACAACGATAATCTACAACGTCGCCGACGATAGGCTTATATAATAAATATTGTATATGCATATTATGATGTTATAATATTTTTTAATCGTTCCCATAGTAATAATTGTGTCGACTCGCATGTCAGACTTCTCGTCTCATTTCGCCTTTGTGCGTGCGCCACTTGTCACGTATGACGTATCCCCCTTCGTATGACGTACATATCTGTAGTTTTTTTTTTCAACACCAAAATCACTTCTCTGGTTAAGATAATTTCTTTTCTCTCTCTGACCCACGAGCAACATAGCGGATGCACTTTTAGCAGAACCAACACCATGTTGTTACATTTAGTATTAAAGTGAATTGACCAATTATCGAACTTTTGGTTAACAACATGACCTGTGTTGGCTATTTTATTATATTTTAATTTGTATGTAAGTTATAAGCTTTTCAATTATTACAATTTAAAAATGCTTATAAGTTGCATTGAAACTAAAATATCTTAAAAATCCGAAATAACGACACAGGTAATACTGTTAACTTAAAGTTTGATGATATGTGAATTCAGTCTAATATTAAAAGTAACAACGCGGGCCTGGTTCTGCCAAACGTAAATTTGCTATGTTGCGTTCGAGTTAGAGACGGAAAAGAAATAATGTGCTAACATCGTCTTAACAAATTTTTTTTTAAAAATAATTTTATGAAATAATACTTTGGGGAAGCATATGATTTTGTTTTTGAATTTTTGATTATATTGCCTTCAGTGTTATAAACATTCAGATAAATTAAATATTCAAATACACTATATAAATAATACAATTATTATTATTATTCCGCATAATAATACTCGAGGAATATATTTTTTATTTTCGAGTTGCGTTACTACTATTCTTTTGGCGGATTGATTTTATAATATTATTATGTGTGTATGTAATATACGAGTATTTGCGCCGAATTATACCTTCGGGATAAAAGTTGAACGACGTTTTCCGCGTTGAAAAAATCGTACAACCAACGACGACGACGGTATAAATCAAACGCGCTCGTATCAGCGGAAGGTCATCGTTTCGTTCAAGCTTATGCAACGCTTATAGGTCCTAAGAACATTAACAACCGCTTTCTTCCTTTCGTGTACAACAGACACTCATATTATACGTACTATGTATTAT